TCTTTTTTTTTTTCATAACAACCGTTAAACAAACCTTAGAAAATAATTTCATGACTAAAAAAAATGTATATATTATATTATTAAGTATTGTTTAATCACAGTGCTAGTACCAAGTATTGTCATTGATTAACAGTTACAAACTCTTTATAAATGTTTAGTTATATAAAGGACATCTCACATTTTTAAATAGGAAGAACTTAAATATGAACAAAAATTAGACCTAGAAAACTTGACCTAAAATAGTTCTAACAGCCGTGGCTGTGTTTCAAAAACAGTAGTTAGTTTTATACTACAGCCTTCATTTTATTTAGGATTGTTGTTTATTACAGTTAGACAGTTGGAACATTAGCCAAACTGCTACAAACACCGGAGCCCGTGTGGCTGCAGGGATTCAGATGATAGACAGCTTCCAACAGTCACAGTCTGTTACACTGACACGTATGCAGGATAAATAAACATTTTCTTTGCTAATGTGTGTGTTTCAGACAGACAGTTGTCTGTGTAGAGGGAGGAGGTGCAGGCACCACTATGGTAATGTGTGAGTGTGGCTGCAGGGCAGAGGGGGATGGAAGGATGCTGATAATGATGATAGGAGAGTTTTACAGAGGTTTGGGGATTGTGTGTGTGGTTGAGCGAGAGGGGGGGGTCGGTGTGTATGGATGGGGGTAGTCAATAGTTCATCCCTGCATTGTCCCAGGATCTCCTACTGGCGCCGAGGAAGAACGCAACGCATCGAACTCAAACGGCGCATATGAGTCTGCGCCTGCTTTTACAAGCTCGTCTGGAAGCAATCAGTCAGGGAAAAGGTCTGTCACACAGGGACTGTGGAAGTGACTGCACACACACACACACACACACACACACACACACACACACACACTGTCCCCTCCCCTCTCTGGTCTACCAGTGTCTGTGTGTGTCTCTCTCTCTCTGTGACCATTCACCATGTCTCCAGGAAGTAGACACATTTATCTACGTTTCCATGTGAGGCCTGCTGGAGGACTGTCTGCCAGAGGACTGTCTGCTCTCCAGTCTGCACACAGTGAACCGTTAATGTTCCTGCAGCATCATGTTGACACACTGATCAGCCAAGTCTTAGTTGCACAGGACAATGGAACTGCAACAATCCAATAACTCGATAAGGTGGACAAAGTAGCAGTGAACATTAGCAGCCGGTCGTAGGCAACAATAAATCAAATTGACGAAGATAAATAACCAGAAGTAGAACGGAGTCTGGTTTATGCTCTTAATCTCTCAATCCAGGTCATGTTCAGAACAGGTATGAGTGTATACAGTAGTCCGAGTGTATAGTCTTTCTCATCCTCCTGGTAACTGACGACGTCTGCTTTGAAATTTGTGGCTGGATTTCACCACTGCACAGCTATGTTCACGTCTTAAAGAAGGTCTGCAGCAGCAATAAGAACTCTGTATGAGTTTCTTCCACCACTTGATCCTTTCCAGGGTTGGGTACAAACCCATCAGTCAGGTTTGGTCACCAGTCCATCACAAGGCTGCATACTGTATAGAGACGAACAACCTTTGACCTGACAAGGATAACCAACCGTCTGCTCTAAGTTCTAGACTCTAATGACTGAACCGTCTGCTCTAAGTTCTAGACTCTAGACTAATGACTGAAAAAGTGAAAGTGGTGGACTATTAAAGCAATATTGAGAATAAAAAATGAATAAAATTATGAGATTGAAGTCATACATTTGTGAGATTAAAGTTAAAACATTATGAGAAGAAAGTGGAAACTTTGTGGAAAAGTTGTAAAAAAAAGTCTTAACCTTACAAAGAAAAAACATTTCTGAGAATAAAGCCATAACACCTTTGTACTAATATTCGGACATTTTCCTACTAAATCAACAACTTTTTTTTCCATGAAGACTATCACTGTGACCGTCACCTTACTGCAGGTCTTGTTTACAGTAATCCCATGCTTTTGCTGAGATCATCATTTTCTTGTGTGGTTGTCAACAATATCATTCAAATGTAACCGCCTTAGGACTCCAGTGTGAAGAGTCCATGATCCTGAAGTGACTCACATGTACAGGGGAAGAAATAACAGCACACCAGCACGCTGCGTTCACGGACATAACTGTGAATGTCTGGACAAATTTAAACTTAAACATTGACTTTTGTAGTGGAGGTAAATCTGACATTAAAATTCAGGTTTTTAACTATTTCTTAAGCAATAATTCATTTTCATAGAACAGTAATATTTAGGTGCATTCTGTGTCTAGAACGGACATGGGCAACATGCGGCGCGGGGGCTGGATGAGGCCCATTTGGCCTTTTAATCTGGCCCCTAAAACTTGTCCAAAACATATTAAACTATATTAGCATTATACTTCTGCATTTTTCCTATAGGTGGCGTAGAAAAGGCTAAAACAATTTTAGCCTTAATGCATGACATTTACAGGTCATTGATTTTAGTTTATCTTATCTGCTCCTGAACTGACCCCACCCCGAAAATTTTTAGAACTCACTGTGGCCTGCGAGCCAAAAAGTTTGCCCACCCATGGTCCAGAGTTACTCATGTCATCTCGACTACTTTATTTTTGCTCCGGAAACTTCTTTTACTCTGACTAACATAGTGCGCCCCCTAGTGGATGATTTACGAATAACATTTTTATTCTGGCCCATGGGCCGTACATTTGTCACTCCTGAAATAAATTATTTCATATGTTCCCTTAAAAGTAAAAAAAAAAAAACTTTTTGTCAAATAATTTAAGGAAATGAAAAGGAAAAAGGTCTATTATGTTCTAACTGACTTTTTAAAAAACATTTTTACTTGTTATCATTTAGTCAAAGTTTCTATCAAGTTTACTCTTTGGCTGTGTATCATGGGATTTATTCAAAAGATCAAATTGAAACGTGATGAAGATAAATCTGTATGATTAATATTCCAGATAGTAATCCTGGCCTTTACTGTCATTTATTGACACAGTCCGTGCTTTTCTGACAGGGATGAATGCATACACAATTAAAGTGGCTTATTCCGACTGAGCCAGCGTGCTCAGTGACGGGTGAAGGTGGCAGCGAGAGCTCATCATTGCTCAGATTGGAACAATAACATAAGACAACTTTAATTAAAAAGAGAGACACTTTTCTTTCTTTGTCACTTGCACATCTTATATTTTCTCAGGGAAGAGCAAAAACGCCCACATGGGTAAATGTCACGGCATAATTAAAAACGAAAAGATTCCTTGGGTTAAAAGTGGAAGCTTTACAACCATTGTTTGAGATATTACATGATTAATCCTCCTCTCAGCTAACTGCAATATCGGAGGATGATCAGAGCTAACGTCGTATGACAAAGGTGTAGAAGACAAAGTCAACGTGAAAGAGTTTTTATTTTTTAATTCACATAGAAAGTTTTTACAGCAACACGGCTCCTCCGTCCACCACAGAACCACACATACAGGAGGTCCTTGGTTTATGACGTAAAACTAAGGTTTGTGACTTTTAAAATATGGGTCACCAGAAAAAAAGTTTGGGAAACACTGGATTTGGGACTCCAACCATTGGTCTTTCTGCTGTGAGGACCATGCACAAACCGCTCTCCCACCGTGTGACCTGCGAGGATCGGTTCTTAGGAGTCAGCAGGATGAAGGAGTTGTGTGAGATGTTAGAAGTCTGCAGACAGTCAATAAAAACAAACACCTGATAGAACGATGAAGGAGTTGTGTGAGATGTTAGAATTCCCAGTCTGCACACAGTCAATGAAAACAAACACCTGATAGAACCTTGCTCACTGCCGATTGATCCAGACGTGGATCAAACTCTGACGTGGATCATTACGGCAACACCTCAGCTCACATCTGCAGTATGTCGGCCATAAAATAAGAACATGATCTTTGAGTGTGTTTTAACATCGTGCTGCTCAGAGCCCTCTCTCTGCACGAGCATTTCTGAAGCTGAGCAACTCAGACAACTGTATTTGTTGTCTTCTTTTCATTCTCCTTCCTCCTCCTCCTCCTCCTCCTCCTCCGTCTTCTTCTTCTCCTGTTTCTTTAATTATGTCCAACATCTTGTATCTGTTTCACCACCAAACACACAAAAATGTTTTGGTTTCTTCTTTGCTTGTTGAATAAATGTTTACACATCTTTGGGTCCCAACCCACACTTTGAAAACGACTGGTTTTAAGTGTCAGTAAAACGCAGAGGTCATTTTAAAGGCACATCACTTCAGTGTGGTTTTGTTTAGGGTTCAATCTGTGACATTTTTCTGAAGTAGCTGGAGGACTAGAGGACTAAAGGACTGGAGGACTGGAGGACTAGAGGACTAAAGGACTAGAGGACTAGAGGACTGGAGGACTGGAGGTCTAGAGGACTGGAGAACTAGAGGACTAGATGACTGGATGACTGGAGGACTGGATGACTG